AAATATTTTTAATGAATGTCTTAGTTTCTTATGTTCAAAATTGACAATTTTTTATTTAATTAAATGAATTTCATAATTTTTTCAGTCCTTTAATGAAATAAAATATTTTTAATTTTATTATTTTTTAAAAAAAATTTAACATATTTTCTTTAATTATGCATAATTCTTAAATATAAAAGTTTCATAAATAAAATTTAATATTTTGACAGGAACAATTTGTCACAATTTTTTTCACAAAATATTTTAACCTATTTGTGACGGAATTTTGAGAGGGAACAATCTGTCACTAAATTTTTTCATTTTAGTGACGAAATTTGTGACGGATTTTTTAGAGACGAAGTTCATTCCGTCACAAACATTTTTTTTTATTTAGTGATGAAATTTGTGGCGGATTTTTAGAGACGAAAATTTTTTCGTCACAAAATCCGTCACAAATATTTTTTTTTTGATTCAGTGAAGAAATTTGTGACGGATTTTTAGAGACGGAATATATTCCGTCACAAAATCCGTCACAAAAGTCAATAAATTCTTGTCCGCACAAAACTTAAAATTCCCTCACAAAATGCATCACTATTAGCGATGCTATTTTTTCCGTCACAAAATTCGTCACAAATATTAATTTTTCTAGTAGTGGTTGACCAGATTTTATGGCCTGGGGACAGTCCTATTTTCTCAAGAGGGGGTGGAGTGCAACAGCCAGGAGTTCATAGTGCACAACCTGTTGATGAGCATGAGAAGGAAGAGGAAGTTGAGAGAGATGAAGAAGCAGAGGAAGAAGAGCAAGGAGAAGAAGAGGAATACGAGTCAGAGGATTTCTGAGACAGACTGTGGAGAAGAGTTCATTTTAATTTTATGCAATTTTAAATTTTAGTACTTAAATATTGTGGTTTATCGTTAGCCTGTTTAGTTTAAACTATCTGTTTGTTTTGTGTTAATTACGGTTTTATGTGTTGGATGTTATAATTATGCATGTGTTGTTTTGACTTTTGGTGCTTAGGTCAAGTACTGGTGAACCTTTTGTGTTTTTTGTGGAAAGTCACTAGTTTGTGAATGATCACTAACTGTTGAAGCACTCAATTTTTTTTGAAAGACAATTTAGAGTGAAGTCTTGTATATAGTTAATATGATGACAACAGATGATAACAATTATTTTTTGGGAAATAGGTGGCAATTTTTGGGAATCATTAGATAATCATTCTTGGATAGTCAAGTTGTTTCAAATCAACAAGAAGAAAATTTTCATCTTTAAATTCACCGGAAAAAAAAAAGTGTTGTTAATACTCATCTTATGGTTGCACTCTATCATTTTATGCATGATCTTAGAATTCATGAGCATCTCTTTAACTTGACATGAAAGGTCAATGGTTGGATTTATTGAGCCAAGTCGGTGAGTGAGAGCACCCAATACATACACTTATTTGTTTGAGAGTCACCATCATAGCATATTTGTTTGCATTGATTGATTCTTGAAATTGTTGCTCTTGTAAGAAATTTTGGAAAAGATCAAGGCATTATATTGTTCATATTGAAAATTTGTTGAGCCTAGAACCAAACAGCTAACCTTCATTTGAGAAAAATCTTTGTTTGAAACCCATTGGAGCATTAACCTTTATTCAACCCTATACCAACTGTAAATTCCTCACCCTAACCAAACCTTAGAGAGCATGATGAAAATGAATGTGGGTTAAGTTGGGGGGAGTGAAAATTGTTAAGGTTAAAGAAAAAGAAAAGAAATACCATGTTGTGAAGTGTTAAAGTGAGAATTACCTCTCTGATATTATCATTGTTCTGTACAACTCCATTCAAAATAGCTTCATAAAAAGTTCCCAAAAAAAAAGGTTCTAAAAAAAAAGAAAAGAAGCTAAGTTAATGTACAGAAAGTCTCAAAAGAGATGGGATTCTTGCAATTGAGTCAATAAATTATGAAGGTAAATATGGGAAAATTGAAGGTAGAAATTGGGTTGAGAGATGTGCTTGGAGTTGAAAATTGAAGAATAAACAAATTTTGAGTCATGTTGCTTATGTTCATTGTGCTCTCTAGAGTTTGAACCCTTGTTTAACCAGAAAAATCATATTTCTTTGTTAACCAAGCCCTAATACAACCCTCAAAAGACCTCGTGATCCTTCATCTTCTTTTCAAGAGTGGAAATGGAGAGATGATATCAATGTTTATGTTCATAGAAATGATGTGTGTAGTTGAGAGAAACACTCACCCAAGGAGAGATACACCAGTGAGGAGTATATATTCAATCACTGATTCATAGTGCTCAAGTTAGTGATTTGTTTTGTGAATTCTTTGATTAGGTATGCTTGAAAATGTGGGCACTTCAAGTGAGTAGGAATTCATTTGATGAAGGTGAATTGATTGATGATTTATTCTCTTGTTGATATAGAAGCAATTTGTGAATTGGAAAGTGTTGTCAGTTTGCAGTCACAGTGGAACCTTTGTTTGGGGACAAACAAATGAGTAAGTTGGGGGGAGTTTGATAAGTGCTCAAATTACATATTTTTATGCTTAATTTGGCACTCTTTTTGGGAGAGAGGTAAGTAATTTTGGTTGTATTTGACCCTCCAAATAGATAAACTAAGATTAATCCAAGGAGTTACAAGAGTGTAGTTTCTTTAGTTGAAAATATTTCCTTTTTGTGTAGGTTTTGATGCAGTTGGAAATCCAAGGCTATAGCTCCAAATCCAAAGCTGCAGCCACGAAGCCTAAACCACTTCCAGAGAGTTGAAGCTTTAGCCTTGGAACATTCTGAGCAGTCCAGAAATTCAGAGCTACGGCCTCCATTCCAGAGCTACAGCCTTAGAGCTTTGTGCATCTTGGAGCACTTTTAAAGCTGCAGCCACACATCCAGAGCTGCAGCCTTGGGTTAAAAATCCCAACTTTCACCCGGACAAGACGTATTTTTAGGGCAAGAACAGAACGAAACGAAACCAAAGAAAAATAGAAAAATAGAGAGAAAGATCACCCAGGAGAAGAGGAGAGCTTGAAGATTAGACTTGAAGATTGGCTTGCTTGGGAACGAGGACCCATCTTCATTTCTTCTCTTCTATTGTGTAATCTCATCTTTTTATTTGCTATGGCCCTCGCCATGAGTAGCTAGTTTCTCTTGGGTTGGATTCAATGTAACTACTAACTCTATTTCTTCTTAGATTTATATGATATTCAGTTCTATTACTTGTGTTTGATTCTTCTTTTAATGCTTAATCCGGTTTGATCACCCGTTTTATGATATTAGGTTTTTGAACTTTGTTGGGAAACATTTTCAAAACCCTGAACTGAATCATTCACCTAATAATCTCTTGTTTTAGGAATAGACTTGATTTTGTTAGCCATTTTGGTTCAAGTTATTGTTTTAATGCAAGGTGTTAATCTTAAATCATAGAGGAATCATGTTTAGGGTTAATCACCTTAGGACTCAATTTTGAAGAATCTGGTTGAGCTAATTATTGAACATGGAAGTAATATATAGAAGTAGAATCATATTTATCTGATGAAGATTAAAAGAGATAGAAAGTACATTTGTATCCAATCTCTTTCTCATATAAGGTTTTCTGTTACATTCATACTTTTGCTTTTAATTTCTTTAATTTAAACTTAAATCAATACTTCATTCATGTTCTCCGTAAACAAGAAGGAAATTACTAGTACCACCAAATCTCTGAAGACGATATCAAATTACTACAATGAAACTTGGTCCGCTTGCCAAGAGTGAAAAATCCTTCACCACTTTTCTACCATGACATCAAGTAATGCCAAAGTAATTCCCTACTACATCATGGAATATATCACATATATATACCTTATTATGCATTCCACACAGTTCACTTAACTCTCTTGTGCTTCAAATGATTTCAGCACCTCGTCTGTATCACCATGTTTGGCAAAGTAGTAAGAGAAGAAGTCCTTGTATTTGAAAGACTTAAAAATTGGAGGGTGATGTTCATTAGTGAGAGCCTGTGCTGGCTCCACGATACATTCATCTGAAGGAGCCACGAAGAAGGCAGCAGAAGTGCGACTGACACGTGAATTTGTCACAGCCCGGTGTTCAGAACTTCTCAGCTTACCATTACTAATTATCTTAACCCACCACAAGTCCACAAAATTTGCCGGTTAATACATTTATGTATGCTAAAGAGACAAAATTGAAAAAGAAAATAAACAAAAATCTTTCTCTACCGTTTAGTTACAGTGTTGTTTGAAAGTAACTGGAATTAATTTGGAAACAAATACAAGACTCGATTCAATTGTATTAATTTAGTTCATTATTAATTGCAATGAAAACAATCCATAGACTATAGACTAAATAATAAGAAAAAGGGTCTTGCTAATGGATGTCTTAAGCACCGGTTAAGAAGTTAATGTATAGAAAGTTTTTATTAAAAATTGTGATAAAATTATAAGGAAAAATGTACAGAAATAAATTTTCAATAAAAAAATTATTTTTGATTTTTAAAACAGTGACCTAAGAACAGTGGTTAACATTTTTCATAAAAGTCTATTTGGTTTCTCATTAAGTCAACTAAAATCACGTTATTCTATGTAGTTTCAGATTTTCATGTTCATTTTAGCAATTTGACGTAAATATAAGAGACTGTGAATCACAAAGAGTATCCAAACACAAACTAAGAAAATTGTACCCGCAATTGGTGGCCTATGTTTACCACAAATGCATTGGGAATAGGTTCAACAGCGATCCACTTTCCATCCTTGAACACTTGAAGCCCACAAACATGATCTTGGAGTAAAATGGTTATGAGATTTGGATCTGAGTGCTTAATTATTCCCAGTGTCAAACTTGGTTCAGGGCATGGTGGATAATGATTAACATTCAAAAGCATTGATCCAGTGAGATCGTTATCAAAATATCCACACTTGAGACCAAGCCCTTCACTAATCAAACTCAAGATCCTCGATGCCAACTTTTTAACTTCAACTGAAAACACCCCAACACATTCTCTGGGGGAAAAGGACAAATCTTCAATTCAAATAATATTTGAATGAACCAAAACAATTTGTTATTGTAAATGAAGAAATAAAAGTTTTAAAATTTCTCACATTAATTTATACCTGTATCTGGTTGGATTTTGAGGCCAGAAGTGTTGCCACTGCTCCAAAGGATGACACGGGTGCCTAAAATTGTCCCTCCACTGATGAACCTTTTCAGTTGCATAACTGGCACTGCTAGTGAGCATCTTGCATGTCTTTGAAGGATCATTTGAACACAATTTTTGTTTTTCCTCAGCTGGCATCTCAAATAACTCCTTGAAAACACTCCTTACATCATTCATTAGATTCACCGAGATTCCATGATTGATAACCTGCTCTAATCTCACATTACTTCCCAATTTCCATAAAACATTAACTACAAGTTCTACAATCTCTAAAGAGATGTTTGGTACGCGAAAGATTTATAATACTAATAAATTAAAAAGTAATAGCATGATGAGTGAATTAACCTGAAAGAATCCAAACTCCTGAGAAGCCTTGATAATTTTATGGATTGTGTTGGTTCTATCACCATTCTGCGCTTCACTGAGATCAATCACTGGGATGTTGCTGCTCAAGGGGATTTCGAGGTTTCCTGGTCTCAAGTCTGGAGGGAATATGTAGTCTTCAGGGACAGATCCCACAATAAACCCGTTTGAAATAAGTTTATCCATCTTTTCTGCTGCTTTGATTCTGCTTTGCTAGTTGGGTCTTGGATGTTGAAGGAGTATAAATCATCAATTTCTATATATATCTCTCTTTCACTTCACATGACGAAAGTAAATCATGGAGACCTTAAAGTTATATAAGAATATTTTCCTTTTAATATAATCTATTTTATATTGAAGATCAAAATTAGAATCTGCACAATTTAATTAAGAAACTCAAGTTGCTATCTGGGAAACTTCATTTATTTCTTGAAGGATCTTTTCTACCATGTGACATCAAGTAATGCCAAAGTAATTCCCTACTACATCGTGGAATATATCACATATATATACCTTATGCATTCCACACTGATCACTTAACTCTCTTGCGCTTCGAATGATTTCAGCACCTCGTCTGTATTACCATATTTTGCAAAGTAGTAAGAGTTGAAATCCTTGTATTTGAAAGACTTAAAAATTGGAGGGTGATGTTCATCAGTGAGAGCCTGTGCTGGCTCCACGATACATTCATCTGAAGGAGCCACGAAGAAGGCAGCAGAAGTGCGACTGACACGTGAATTTGTCACAGCCCGGTGTTCAGAACTTCTCAGCTTACCATTACTAATTATCTTAACCCACCACAAGTCCACAAAATTTTCCGGTTAATACATTTATGTATGCTAAAGAGACAAATTTGAAAAAGAAAATAATCAAAAATCTTTCTCTACCGTTTGGTAACAGTGTTGTTTGAAAGTAACTGAAATTTGGAAACAAATACAAGACTCGATTCAATTGCATTAATTTAGTTCATTAATTGGAATGAAAACAATCCATAGACTGTACACTAATAATAATAAGAAAAAGGGTCTTGCTAATGGATGTCATAAGCACTGGTTAAGAAGTTAATATATAGAAAGTTTTTATTAAAAATTGTGATAAAATTATAAGGAAAAATGTGCAAAAATAAATTTCAATAAAAAAATTGTTTTTGATTTTTGAAACAGTGACCTAAGAACACTGGTTAACATTTTTCATAAAAGTCTGCTTGGTTTCTTATTAAGTCAACTAAAATCACGTTCATATCAAAGCTATTTCATGTAGTTTCAGATTTTCATCTTCATTTTAGCAATTTGACGTAAATATAAGAGAGGCTGTGAATCACAAAGATCCAAACACAAACTAAGAAAATTGTACCTGCAATTGGTGGCCTATGTTTACCACAAATGCATTGGGAATAGGTTCAACAGTGATCCACTTTCCATCCTTGAACACTTGAAGCCCACAAACATCATCTTGGAGTAAAATGGTTATGAGATTTGGATCTGAGTGCTTAATTATTCCCAGTGTCAAACTTGGTTCAGGGCATGGTGGATAATGATTAACATTCAAAAGCATTGATCCAGTGAGATCGTTATCAAAATATCCACACTTGAGACCAAGCCCTTCACTAATCAAACTCAAGATCCTCGATGCCAACATTTTAACTTCAACTGAAAACACCCCAACACATTCTCTGGGAAAAAAGGACAAATCTTCAATTCAAATAATATTTGAATGAACCAAAACAATTTGTTATTGTAAATGAAGAAATAAAAGTTTTAAAATTTCTCACATTATTTTACCTGTATCTGATTGGATTTTGAGGCCAGAGGTGTTGCCACTGCTCCAAAGGATGACATGGGTGCCTAAAATTGTCCCTCCACAGATGAACCTTTTCAGTTGCATAATTGGAACTGCTAGTGAGCATCTTGCATGTCTTTGAAGGATCATTTGAACACAATTTTTGTTTTTCCTCAGCTGGCATCTCAAATAACTCCTTGAAAACACTCCTTACATCATTCATTAGATTCACCGAGATTCCATGATTGATAACCTGCTCTAATCTCACATTACTTCCCAATTTCCATAAAACATTAACTACAAGTTCTACAATCTCTAAAGAGATGTTTGGTACACGAAAGATTTATAATACTAATAAATTAAAAAGTAATAGTATGATGAGTGAATTAACCTGAAAGAATCCAAACTCCTGAGAAGCCTTGATAATTTTATGGATTGTGTTGGTTCTATCACCATTCTGCGCTTCACTGAGATCAATCACAGGGATGTTGCTGCTCAAGGGGATTTCGAGGTTTCCTGGTCTCAAGTCTGGAGGGAATATGTAGTCTTCAGGGACAGATCCCACCATAAACCCGTTTGAAATAAGTTTATCCATCTTTTCTGCTGCTTTGATTCTGCTTCGCTAGGTGGGTCTTGGATGTTGAAGGAGTATAAATCATCAATTTCTATATATATCTCTCTTTCACTTCACATGACGATGAACATTTTCCTTTCAAAATAATATATTTTATATTGAAGATCAAAATTAGAATCTGCACAATTTAATTAATAAACCCAATTTAATTTTATATTTTTGGGTCCACCATTAATAAATGATTTTGTCAATAAGACAAAAGATTGTTAAGGCGTAGAAAATTGTCTCAAGATGTTTCTGAGGCCATTTAAGATTTTCTGTTGAGGCCAGCCGGCCCAAGCCCAACGCATATGGAATTGAAGATAAAAACCAAATGGCTGATGATATATACACATCCATTTTTTTTATACATACACCCCCTTTTTAAAAAAAAATATTAAATTCCTAAATTATCCTTAATATTATTTGGAATAAAAAAAAATTATCTTGGAAATTTATTTTTTTTGTTCATTGGGATAGCTGGTCCCAAGATTTAACGTGACTGCATACACAAGGCAGGATTCGAACCCCTGACCTTGCTTAAGCGTGGATCAACTCCTACCGCTGAACCACACGCTTGGGTTATCCTGGAAAGTTTTTTTTGGAGGTGTATTTGTACATAATTATGGAAAGTACTTTCCGGAATACTAACATTACTATTCCGGAAAGTACTTTCCGGAATACTAAAATTACTATTCCAGAAATAACTTTCCGTCAGAATAATTCTGGAAAATACTTTTCGTAACACTAAAATTACTATTGCGAAAAGTTCTTTCCGAAATTATGGTAACAAATACACACACGGTTAATATTCCGGAAAGAATTTTCTATAATAATAATTCTAGTGTTACGGAAAGTATTTTCCATAATTATTTCAACGGAAAGTTATTTTCGGAATAGTAATTTTAGTATTCCGGAAAGTACTTCTCGTAATTATTCTGACGGAAAGTTTTTTTCGGAAGGCTCATGATATATACATCTCCTGTGTTTTTTATAAGTACATCTTCTTTATTTTTTTAAAAAAATTTATAAAATATTATATATTTTTTTTAATTTTATACCTTTAACTTTCAATTTTCTACTTTTTTCTTTTTTTTTCACACACTTTTTTCTTTCAATTTTTACATGCTACCAAAATAGGTGGGATGAAGGAAAGATAATGGGGTGCATGTAAAAATTGAAGAAAAAAAAAGAAAGATCTATATAAAAAAGTACTAAATTAAATGTTGTGAATGTAAAATTAAAAAAAAAAAAAGCAAAAAATTAAGAATATTTTAAAATTTTAATTATTTTTTTAAAAAAAGAGGTGTACTTATAAGAAAAAGGAGGTGTATATATCATCAACTTTTGAAAAATACTTTCCAGAATAATTTTTTTTATTTCAAATAATATTAAGGATAATTTAAGAATTTAATATTTTTTTTAAAAAAAATGAGGTGTAGGTATAAAAAAATGGAGGTGTATATATCATCAACCAAACCAAATTGCCAGCGGTAAACAAGAATGAGGAAGGCAGGCACGTGTCGCTGACCCAAAGAAAGTGTTTTATTTTATTTTATTTTTATATATCTAAAACATAGGGATGACCTTCAATTATTAACAAAACTTAAATGTGTTTTTAATTTTTAAGTGTATTAATTGTGTAATTTTAATCTCTTAATTTTTAATTAAATAATAATAGTCTCTCAAATATTATAATTATATAATTTTAATTTTTAATTAAATAATTTTATTTTATCAAATATCATAATTATATGATTTTAGTATTTCAAGTAATATAATTTTACAAATTTTTATCTATTTAAGTTACATATATAAGTAATTTAATACATAAATAAAAATTATAATATATGTAATTTAGATGGATAAAAAATTATATAATAACGATATTTGAAAGATTAAAATCGTAAAATTATAATATCAAGAAAACTAAAATTATTTAATTAAATTTTGAAATATCAAAATTATATGATTACAATATTTAAAAAATTAAGGTTGTTCGATTACAATCTTAGAAATAAAAATCACATAATTAAACTTTTTAAAAGAATCTTGAATAAATCTAATATTTTAAAAGTCTTTAGTTATGCTAAAATAAAAATTATAAATAACACCTTAAAATGCTAAATTATTTTAATCCTTAACTACATTTTCCGTAAGAGTTTTATAAGTACAAGGGTTCTATTGAAAATTTTCAAGTAGTCTATCACGTTGATGGTTTAATTATTCAATATGTCTCTAAATTATTTTAAATTAGTATTTTAGTATGTATAATATACAGGTTAAATATTTATTATATATTATTAAAATTTAAAAAAATTATTTATAATTCGAATATATAAATTATATTTAAAATTTGTATAAATAGATACTTTTAAATATATAAATTATATTTTAGGTTTATGATAAATAAGTTATATTGTAGCACAATATTATTTTTATTTATTAATAATTTATTTAAAAATATTAAAATTTAATTCTTAGATAATTATGATAAATAAAAATTGAATTAGATAAAAATTTAAAAAAATTCTTCAAAACCCTCTCGTAGAAGAAAAACTCCGCTCTTATGCGAGATAAAAGTCTATGTTTAATATATAAGGTTGAAAAATATTAGTTTGAATAGATAAATTATATTTAAAATTTGTATAAATGCTTTTAAACATATAATTATCTTCTAGATTTATGATAAATAATTTATATTGTAGCATAATATTATTTTTATTTATTGATAATTTATTTTAAAAATATTAAAAATTAATTCATAAATAATTGTGATAAATAAAAACTGAATTTGATAAGAAATTAAAAAAACCTCTCAAAATCCTTTCGTCAAAGAAAAAAATCCTAAAAAAGTTGTTGCGTAAAATAAAAGTTTGTGTTTAATATATAGGAATTGATTGATATTTTTATTTATTTATAATTTATT